CCTACTAAGATGAATAAGTGTACGAATAGGATGTACAAACATGTATTATTAGATATACAGACACACCAATCCACACCTACACCACATTCATTCATGCATGGTTGACTGACTGTGTGGAATATTTAAAAGTGTCTAGTAGACAGACATATTGTCTCAGAACAATATGAGCTACACACACATGCACACACGCACCATAAACACGCCTATGAAAATGCACTTAACCAGAGAGGGTACATGAATATTTAAATTTTTACGATGACTATTATTACTACTGTTATCATAATAGTAGAAATGGTAATAATTGTTTTAAACTAGAGGAAATGGTTCCGGCTACGTAGTCATTTGATGATTTATTTGATGCCGTTTTTAGGCGTATGGAGAAAAAAAATATATCTACACAACTACTTACTTCAAAGATAATTGCCGACCGGACACATATAATAATATGCAACAACAGCTACAAAACAGTAACTAACTGACTAACTAACAAACAAACGAACGGGCTAACAACAAACAATAATGGTAAGAAGAAAAAGAACTAGACAAACATACACTTTACTAGAGGACTAGAGAAGCGATAATAGTAGTACTAGTTAGTACAAAACAGACGATTGGAACAATTCGACAGAAGGGGAAGTAAAACAAAACGAGAGAAAAAACGCAACTGCATACACATAATAAATTCAGTAGGCATTTATGCTCTCCTCCTTCTCCTCCCCCTTTCAAAAAGGCACAACAGTCAGTAGTAGGGTTTATGTGAATAGAATTAATAATGATAGTAATGGCATGATAGTAATGAATGGCTAGTAGTCATCACATAATCATATAATATATATATCTATTTCATATTTTCAAGAAGATAGAGTCAATGTGAATACTATTTCATCAAAGGTCATTCAGTTTATGTATGCGTCTCTCTGTGAGTGTGCATAGTGGCTACTTTTTTCTAGAAAATTTATGACATATAATACTGTCTCTGTGAATGTACTTTTTTTCTTTTGGGTTGTATACGGTATACTTCATCAAAAGATTTCCGAAAAAAAAAAAGAATTCTTTTATATTACTACTAGATGCACAAATTTGCATAAGTTACTACTAGTACTCGGTTATTTAGTTAAGTAATCGATAAACTTCAAAGAAAGTCGAAATCGGCATTGGTTGTTTTGGTATTACTACTGACAAGCGAATAACTTACTACTGGTCATGAAATAAGAAACAATTTTCCTTATTATTTTTCCTGAGGGGTGAATTATTTTCTGTTTTTATATAAAAGTACTTAAAATGAAATAGAGTAGTAGGTTTTGAGTATATGATATACATATGATATATGTCTGATTTCCCACAAACTGGAAGATATGCAAGCGAAAAGCAACAAGTTGGCAGAAGAAGCATCCAGAGAAGATAGGACTTCAGGTAAACATAGAGAAAACAGAGGTGATGAAGATTCCTGGCCAACACCAACATCAACAACAACAACAGACAACGATCAGCATAAATGGAAGGAACCTGAAAGAAACAACCTCTTTTACCTACCTAGCTGCGAAGCATCGTTTCAACTATAGGCGGACAGAACTGACGAGGATATCAAAGCAAGAATCGGAAAAGCAAGACAAGCTTTCACTACTCTCAAGTCTGTGTGGAGGTTAACAGCACTCCATACCACCAAAAATAAGATCCGGATTTTCAACTACAATGTGAAGTCACTGCTACTATGCGGATCAGAGACTTGGCGCGTCATAGAGAATATCTCAAACAAACTACAGACCTTCATCAACAGTTGTCTTCGCTCAATACTCAAGATCAGATGGCCGGCCAGAAAAGATTAGCAACAGAGATCTCTGGCAATGAGCGAACCAACAAGGAACCGATTGTGAAACAGATAAGCAGGAAGAAGTGGAGATGGATTGGCCATACTATGAGGAAACAAACCATCAAGTGACATCATTAGACAAGCCATTGCTCGAGTGGAACCCGAAAGGAAAGCGGCTAGTTGGTCGTCAGTGCGAGGGTGACTTGGAGGAGGTCATGTGAAGAGGAGACGAAAGCATGTAGGCAGACTTGGAGCCAGGTGAAAACTCCAGCAGAGAATCGAAAGCAATGGAGACGCACAGCTGAAGTCCTATGTTCTTCTGGGAATTAAAGGAAACAATAATAATAATAGTAGGTTTTGAGAGCGGGACAGAAAGAGAGAGAGAGAGAGAGTGAAGTATTTTCGACGAAAGGCAGCCTGTTTGAAACCTGGACTACTGAAATACGCCCTTCATTATATTGCATATAATTTGTGCTGTTCAGTTTGTTTTAATCGATTAAAATATGACCTCTAATGGTGCTATTTTACCTTCACGAGTGTTTAAAATGTTTTCAGCCTGCTGATTTGCAAGTTTCTACTAAATTTGAGAATAAGTAAAAGCGTAGGTTTTCAACAGTTGGTTTGCAAGGATTAGATTTGGTTTTTACGAGTTGGTTACGTATTGATATCAGTTAGACTACCATTGAAACCAGCAGTGGAGTACTGGACAGCTGTTTCATCCTAGTTTTGTGAATCATCGGCGGTATGCACCCACTGGAGTTTGAACCCAGTGGCTGAATGGTATACGAGCTTGCCTTGTAACTGTAAGGTCCGGGGTTCGAACCGTGGCGGTGGATGCGTACTGCCAGTGACTCCCGAAGTAGGATGAAACAGCTGTTCAGTACTCCCTAGTTTTCAATGGTTCCCTAAATGATATCAATCTGTCATCAACTCGACAAAAAAAGCAGGTGCCAACGTGTTCCAATACATGAGATAACTGTTGCTGAGCATTTTAGTACAAACTGCCACTGTACGAGAAATAAGACTAAATTAATCGTAGTCTTCAATTATTCAGTTATTATTATGCCTTTTCGTCAAAAAATGTACTTCCTCATCTTTCTTAATAAATTGGTTTTCAACCAAGTGTTATGCACTTCTCGAAGAAGGCAAAGAAGATATATTGTAGTGGATTGGTTTTTTCCGCTTCAGGTCAGACAGCACTGTGTCAAGCGATTTACTGTCAATTACTATTTCACTTAAAGATCTTGGACAATGAGAAACTATCATGCAATCATTTCCATTGAAAATTCTGTACATCATATAAACACTTTGGAGAATAAAGCTATTATTCCACCGGAATTCGCATCTAACACCCCAAGAGTAATGGAACACCTACTGACTGGGTATTGGTTTTCAGGAGAACCGAACACACCTATCCCTGCCTCTTGCGAGATGAGACCGACATGCAGTATCATCTGGTGGCGTAACCACTCGACAGCCCTCTCCTTCGGTGGTATAGCGGTAGAGTGCTCACCGACTCACTCCTTTACCTCAGTAAGCCAGTAATAAGACTGGTAAAGAGGGAAGGTTGGGCATGAGGATAGCGACCCCATCCTGTAAAAATAATCACCACTGCTACAAAAATTTCAAGCCTCTAGCTTGAATCCCTATGTTCCACTGGGAACGTAAAGGAATAAAACAAAACCCAAGAGTAAGCAGAGATTTCTTCTGTGCCCCATACTTTCAAATATTTGTTTATTTCACTAAATGGGTTGAGTACTAATGAATCAAATGAAACTAAGTAATAGGTATCATAGCATTCTTATGAGTGCATAATGGTCCTACTACTCAATATATATATATATATATAAGTCAGTGATAGAATGCTCAACAGTCACGCCTGAGGTCTAGGTTCGAATCCCGCCCGATGCATCTCCAAACCCCGCCTAGTTTACTAGCCGACAGTAAGCCCGGTAAAGAAGGAAGTCTCGTGTTCTGAGGTTAGCAATCCCACCCGTTCAAAAACACCAACAACACAGATACTGAAACTTCAAAGCCTGAAGCTTTATGTTTCACTAGGGGAGCTTTTTGTATTACTTATTAAGAGATATAAGTAATATATAGAGTGCCAGATTGATAATTTGTGTGTCAATAGAAAGAAGCACTGAAGAAGAAATATGAGACAAAAAGTAATAACCAACGCACGCACACACACAAACACACATAATGACGAACAACACATGAATCATAAGGAATGGATACTATCTTTTATTTACGTTGATTTACATAATACCTATTGTAATTTATTCCAGCAAACATCTGATATGTTTTAATCAGTTTTGTCCTTTTCACTACTACCATAATAATACTACTACTACTATTGTCACTGTGAATATAATTCAATTACTAGATCAATTGGGTCTGGTTTAAAAACAGCTGAATTTGAGTATGTTACTTCAGAGTAAACGTAATGTAATTCTCCTAGTAGAATAAATTCGAACAAACCACACTTCAATAAGGCCATAATTGAAAAAACAATATGTATAAATTACATTCAAGCGACTAAGTAAGTGCACATACTTGCGCCTTTTACTAAGCAAGACATCATTCATAAAGGCGAACAGAAATATTACAGCTACAATTTTTATATGAAGGTTATATCATTTACGAGTTATTGAAGATGTGAGGGTAATTAGTCTTTTGAGTGGAAAATATTTCATCTTCAATCTTTTCTAAAACTCAACACTTTGATCTTGAAGATTAAGAAAGGCTTCAGTTTTGTAAAATATTGTAAAACAAACCAGTAAATGATGTGTCGGTGGTTTGATGCGGGAATGCTCGCTGACCACGCCTCACATGGTCCGGGATGCGATTCCCACCCAATGCGGTCTTCACTCAACCAGTAATAAACCTGGTAAAGAGGGACGTCTGGAGGTGAGGTCAGGTACCTCAACCCGTAAAAATAAACACCACTGTTACTGAAACTTCTAAACTGAAGCTTGAAGTTCTATGTTCCGCTCATAACACAAAGAAATGAAGAAAAAAATGATACAAATAATAGTCAGAATAATCAATATTACAGGTTTATTGATCAATCTATCTGTGGTCGTCGAAATGAACTGCATTAAGTGATAAATACAAAATATTAACACCAAGATTTAAACGAATACAGAATATTATTCCCTTTGACGAAAATGTGTCTTCAACTCACCTAGAGGCAGTGCATATTCATGTGTACAATTAGGATTATTTACTGGACAGCATAGTGTATCTGTTGTAGGTGAACATTCTCTAACTAGAATTTGATTTTTTTCACATATTTGACATGGTATACATTTGACATTGTCAACAGTTTGTGCAGACCAAAATCCAGCTGGACAAGATTGACACTGGGTATCTGAATTCCAATCACATTGCCTGTAAAATAAAAAGTTTATATAAAATATCTTAGTGTTTAGGAATAAAGCATCAAAAGATTGATAAAAAGCTTCATTAAAAAAAATAAAGTAACTCATACATGAAACAGTGGAATAATTTACATTCAATGTCAGTTGAATGACACTCAACAAAACCAATTCAGATGTAAATGCAGATTCTTTTATGAAAGAGTACAACCTGAGAATGGGAGCATTTTGAATGCCTATAACATATCATCAGATTATTATTATTATTGTTCCCTTGGGTTCCTAGTGGAACATAGGGCTTCAACTGCACGCCTCAACTTGCTTCTGCCTTCTGCTGTACTTTTCACCTGCATCCATGTTAGTCCATACTGTCTCAGCTCCTCTTCACACGATCTCCTCTACGTCACCCTTCGACGTCCCACTCGCCGCTTCCCTTTTGGGTTCCACTCGAGGGCCTGACGCGCGATGTCACACAGCGGCCGCCTCAGCGAGTGTCCAATCCATCTCCGCTTCCTCCTGCATATTTGTTGAGCGATTGGTTCTGGTTTTGTTTGTTCCCATAGTTTCTTGTTGGTGATTCTTTCTGGTCATCTGATCTTCAGTATAGAACGAAGACAGTTAGTTGCTAATAAAGGTCTGCAACAGGCTGTTGGAAATATTCTTTGTGACTCGCCGCCAAGTTTCTGATCCGTATAGAAGAACTGACTTGACGTTTGTATTGAAAATCCGAATTTTGTTGATGAAGCTGAGTGACGAAGATTTCCAGATTGGTTTTAAGTTGATGAATGTGTTTCTCGCCTTCGCGATTCTTGATTTGACATCCTCGTCCGTTCTTCCTGTAGTTGAGATAATGCTCCCTAGATAAGTGAATGAAGTAACCTCTTTCAAATCCCTCCAGTTGATGGTTATTGGCGCTGTATGTTGCTGCTATTGTTGTTGTTGTTGGTTGGTTGGTTAGTTTCATAACCTCCGTCTTGTCTATGTTCACCTGGAGTCCTGTCTTTGCTGCTTCTTCGACCAGGTTTTCGGTTTTCGCTTGTAAGTCTTCAATTTTGTGTGACAGATCATAATCTCAGTTTAATACTATTTATACTAATAATGATTGTGTTTTATGCCTTTGTTAAACTTTGATTATCCCCTTCAGGATAGCTTGAAAATATATTCCGTTCTCCATTAATATCTACTGGAACATATTCTTTCATCAGTTCACAATGGAGATAAAATAAACAATTAGTCAGGAATAAAATAATTATGAGTAGTCTGACTTAAGTTGTTCGTGTATTGTTAATTGAAGAACCACTTGAAGATACTTGGTAGGTTATCGTACTCTATGCAATCTTCACAGTACCTTTGAATTCCTGGTCTTATTGCTGGCTTAGCACCTTCTGCATATTTGATACAATTACGTGGAACATGCACCAGGTTATTGGTGAGTCTGTCAACAGGTGCTAGAGAAGACACACATACACACACACTTGTGAACTAACTGAATTTAAGAGTATTTTCAAAAGGGGGGAACTTATTGATCCACTTACTACGCTGGATGTCCAGATCATGACGATTAGTTCTTTGAAGTCAATTTAACATCAAAGGTAGTTTTGAAATACCTCCAGAAACATTTTTAGTAACATGAGATGTAGAGGAAACTGGAAGATATCCAGTCGCATTCCAGGTTTTTTGGGTAGTGTCAGAGTGAAGCCGAACTGGATGATCACTTAATCATACATCAATGTATTTCCTCCTATCCTGAATGTTCATATAGTACAAAGATATATATCTGTATATAACTATAAGGGACTTGAAGACACTTTAAATTGATAATAGTTTGTTTGGTAATATTTACATTCTCCAGTAGATAGTCATTCTTGTGATTTCTATTGATTTCGTCTTTCTTAATACCTATCCTCTTAGTTGCAAGGATGTTCAACAGCCTATATAAATACTAAGATCTTATATTTTTAACTATGTGAAGTAAATTATCAAATAATACCTAATGAGCATGAAATCAAGTACATTGATCAAAGTAGTCGATCGGTATCAGTTGGATTTTCGAGGAAGAATAAATTTATGTAAATGTGTATAGGAAGTTCCTCGAAAGACAAGTACTCTAAGAAATAAATCAGTTACAGCAATATTGGTATTGATCTACACTCGAACTACAGTGTCGGATATACGGCTCATCAGTTTACTTACTGGATATTCAACCTGTTATGACTGGGACTATGACCTAGTAGGCTATCAGCGAATACTAACTTGATGCGCTCGCTGTTCTTTCCTAATCGCACACATGTAACAACAATGAGGATAACACGGCCGGCATGCAAAGACATAAGGGTAGACTGGACGTTTGTAGGAGAGCTTTCACTGTCTCAAAACGACTGTCAGAAAAGGTTGACAGAGATTGCATGTATATATATGTTTAAAATGACATTGAGAAGCACTAATGTCACTAATGAATTAACGCAGTGAACAACCAGTAGGATTTCGAAGGTCGTAAGTAGGGTGAGAGAAAGTCAGGTCATAAATCAATAAGTGAGGTGAGAGAAATACAAACAGACATGTAAAAATAACATGTAGGAAATTAGGTCTGTATATATCACAGCTACTGAGTCACTCGTTTGAATTTCTCTCTACCTATTTCAAACGAATTGAGCGTCCAAGAATAACTTGGAAGTGATCACGTGAAGAGGAAATGAAAGCCTATCAGTAGTCGTGTAGCCAGTAAAGATGACTGTAGAAAACAGGATAAAATAGAGATGAGCTGTTGAAGCCCTATGTTCCCCTTGGAATCTAAGGGAATTATTATGCATAATACTTCAGACTAGGTAACTGAGTAGTATGATCAGCCTTCACATAAGAGTAAGTGAATCTTAACACCATATACCAGAACGTGGAAAAATCAGAGGTTGTTAAAGTCAATATATTTAAGTGGAGAAATGCTGATTACTGAAGCTGCGTTCATGAAATCATCAAGCATTGTTGACAATGCCTATCCATTATTACCTGAACAACTCTACTATCAACAAGAACAGATATATAGGTACAATGAGTTGTACTAGTGTAAAAATAAAGTTGTAAAGTTCAGTGAATACACTAACATAACTGAGTTAGAACTGTAATCCAGTAAATAATACTAATATATCCAAAAGACAAGTTAACATGGAATTATACGCTACTACAGTACCAAAGTTTCAATCGTTTATAACTGCATTATGTAGTCACCTATTCACCTCTGATGGTGTAAAGCTGAACTGCACACACAAACACGTCCATAAGCGTACACCTAAACATAAGAGGAAATTATGGAATGGAAGGAAGTGAAGGTTTCTTACCCCATTTGCATTCGTTTGAACAAACATGTACAATTACGAGTACAGTATTTTCACTACTATTAGTGTTAAATGATGCTCATTACTTTTAGTTAAATACAGTGAATTCGTTTTCGAAAGTGATTTGGTGGATGGTTACTAGCAGTGGAATCTAGGCTGCATATTTTGTCACCATCTGCGATTCATCAGTCGGATGTACCTGTAATGAGCGGTGAATCAGTGATAATGTTTCGCCCTGAGACTTGAACCTGGTATCGACCCTTTCAAAACGCCAAAGGATATTATCCATTAGACCACTTGAGTCACAAGAACAACCTTTTGTGCAACAGGCATAAGTTATTACGTCAACTGAGGCCAAGCATTTCCGTTCAATCAATCAACGGGAAAATCGATATTGAATTAACAACAAATGAATTGATTTTTTTTAATAATTATAAGTTATGTAACATCTGTTGGCATCAAGGCAACTATTTTTGATTCCAACCTAATGATAGAAATGTTTATCAGCTACAGTCACGCAGTAGTAACATGAAGACTACAGGGTTGAATAAAATCTGAAGAAAAGGTGATTGTAAATGGATTGAATTCATGCATACACCTATTGTCTATAGCATTACTAGGTAGAAATAAAAGTATTTGATGAATGCACAAAATTTTTGCTAAGAAATAGCATATTTTACGTATAATAATAAGTGAAATATATGCGTAAAGATCAAAGAGGCATTGTATATGTCTAAACGTATGTATGCATATGTATACGTGTGCGTGTGCGTGTGTGTGTTTCTGCTTACGCCAACATACACTCAGAAACGTAAACAAATGAAGTATTGCCATTTTTATTCAATGGCAATCTCTTTCATTCTTCTTTGTAGTACTTACACTACTAGCACTACTAATAATAATTAACATTCATTAACACTGAAAATCTGATTTATGTGTCTAGTGTGTAAGTATTATTGCATGTAGTTTTGTTACAGTTTAAATTATTTAACCTTTTTTTATGTAGTTGTCTGCATAATAGAAACTGTCAAATACCTCAAAGTAAATTTTAGCCATTGGTGTTATACTACTAAAATATTAACAAGTAGTCAATAATTTCACGCGTATATTTGTCTACACACAATGACAGATTTCAATTTAGACAATATTTGGAGCAATATTACTGTCTGTGATCACAGGAAAATGACTAGCTTCAAAATAATAACTATATATATATGATTTGTGTATGTAGATATGTGGAGGAGGGGGCAATAACAACAATGGATGTAATCTTGGTTTCATTCTAAATATTAACGAAGTCCTAACACCCATTACAAATACATGTACAGTAATTTGATTCATTGAGCAATGCGAAAATTTTTCACAGAAAATGACTTCAACTTACTTAACTATACCTTCACCAGGTTTACAAACAGTGCACGGTTTACATGTTTGTTCTTTTTCTGACATATAAAATGGTTTTTCACACTGACATATTGTATCTGTTGTAGGAGTACATTCAGTACGTGTCTTTGCTAAAGGATGAAGCTGAAAAGAAATATGGAAAAATGGTTTTCTGTAATAAATTCGTCAAGGGATAAAAGATAGCGAAACAAATGTATTTTAACAGCAATAGAATTCCGTACCCACTCAAGTATTTTTAGAAAATGTAACCAGTGTGGTTGAATATTGTTCATTACTTTAAGGTGTGAATCATGGTTCTTTTCTGTCTACTCACTTCTTCTGTGAAAATTTGAAAATGTCTAGTTTTTGAGGAACTCATCAACAACTTGAGCCAACTTCTTAACTATGTCAATATAATTAGTGTTAATCTTTTCCCCAGTAAGATTCTAATAAATGCAAAAAACGTTTACTGTTGAAACGTTTGAACAATATCTACCATATAAAAAATTTAACTGGATTGATAATTTAGACAAGTCAGTTATTAAGTCATGCTTCAGTAGTTCAGTGGTAGAATACTGTCCAATCACGCAAGTAGATCGACGTCTCCTTCCTGGCCAACGTACGCCTAAGCCTCATTTAACTGGTGGTAACTCTGGTAAGGAGAGTGAAGGTTGGGTAGGAGGCTAGCAACTCTATACCACTGCTAATGAAAGTTCTATGCTACATTCGGAATGGATAGGGATGAAAAAAGAAAGTTATCAAATGGAAATTAGTCTTATAGGTCAATTGCTTCATTCATATGAAGGTCAAATATAATTCGCTTGTAGTGCAATCGTTCCTATCGTCATATCTGATGACAACTAAATAATACAAAACAGATTATATCCCACAGTTGCGTCGTTTTACTCACTGAACAAATAACAAGAACCTTTTCAATAATTGTTCAATAAACCTATACGATTCTCTTACAGTTGACTTTGTAAAAGAAATTAAGGTACTCGATAGTCGTTTGAGTCCTTAGTGAATCTGCATAGTATATTAATGAACAACAGATTGTATTGATTTGACATTAAAGAGTAACTGAATTCCTTTTGTGTAGTCCTAAGTGCCAACTGTATCCTGTCGATCAAGTTCCTAATGTGATCACAAATCTTGGAGATTCGATATAACGATTTAATTTTGACTGATTTTAATTGTTGAAGTTGATTGGCTAAAATTTCCACTTAACCTTAAGTTTAAGCTTGTTGAGACTTTCTAGCAAAGCATATCTAAGATCTCAAGAATATTGATGACCTTCTTCATGGATTCGTGTTTCTGCAACATACAAAGCGGTGATTGGTGTGTTTGCGTTAAAATTAACCTTATATAGGACTATTTTAGAGACTGGTGGATTAAGCACTAAGGCGTATCTACTATTTTTGTAACAGGATAACTGTTTGTGAAATCTCTCCTGAACCACGATCTAATTACAATATTGTTACTTGCTTGAATGTTCCAACTAGCTTACCAGTCATTTTCCCCTTTCCTTCTAGACTAACTCTATATAATTGTTCTGGCACTTGCATATCATATTTTGGTCTGATTCTTATTTTCAAGAGTTTGATTTGTAAGGATTAGATTTGTTTATATGAGTTTGACCACGGATTGATATCTGTTAGAGAACCACTGAAAACCAGCACTGGAGTACTGAACAGCTGCTTCATCCTAGTTTGAGAATTATCGGCATCCACCGCGAGGGTTCGAACCCAGAACCTTCCGGTTACAAGGCAAGCTCATATACCATTCAGCCACTGGGACCCGATTCAATAGCCTATGAATTATAACTTCTATCAATTCGTAATTTAGCGCGACCACCAACCATTGTCATCGATGGGAACTCCATCTACACACTTGACTGGATGGACCTCACTTTGTCCCTGTTTAATGTCAACTTTTAATGCTTCTATTTGTGGCTGTGTGATGACAGTCAGTTCCTTTACGACTGCGACTTTGTTTGAGTGAGTCAAAGTCATTCCAACCTTGAACTGACTATCTGCGAGAATTGTTGGGGGCGTGATCCTTTCTGACAGAGTTTTGATCTCACCTTGTTGGGAATATTCTACTTGATTCTCAGGTACTTCTTCTTACAGTTGAATTTTGATTGACTAATTCTGTTGCACTGCACTTGTTTTGTATCTGAGTCCTAATTTGATGTGTAGAGCTGCCTAACGTAATTGTTCACGTGACTTTCCATTCTGATATGTAATTATTGTCAAAGAGTATCGCAGATTTTTCTCAAATAACTGAGATTTGCTGTCGTTCAGGCATTTTGCGACAGTGAGCAAGGAAGCTATACAGATTATAATGCGTAGCTTTTGGTCGCTACAATTTCTGTAGAAAATAAATGACTACCTTAGTGTTTCAGTGTTAACATCTTATTTTAATTATAGCTTGATTTCACGGTATTCGGTACAACTATGGTGTTCTCAGATTGTGATATCGATAAGCCAAATTTAGAAGGCAAAGGGGATCGAATCCCAGACCATGTGCATGATCGGCGAGCGTCCCAACTCCTGTGTTACTGACGCCTATGACACGTAGAATAACATATTTACAAAAGTAATTATTATTATTTCCTTGAGTTCAGAGTGGAACATAGGGCGTCAACAACACATCTCCACTTTGTTCTATTTTTTGCCATCCTCTTCAGGTGGCTACACGATTGATCAGACTCTCTCATCTCCTCCTTGCCACACGATCTCCTCCGTGTCACCATCACACTGACGACCCACTCGACGCTCCCCGTTTGGATTCTACTCGAGGGGCTGGAGTGCGATGTCATTCGGCGGCCTTCTTAATGTATGCCCGATCTATCTCCACTTTCTCCTACATATTTGTTGAGTGAGCGGCTCTCGTCAATTGGTTTGTTCCCATAGTTTCTTGTTACTTATTCTTTCTAGGTTGGTCATTCGATCTTCAGTATGGAGCCAGCGAAGGTGGCAGCTGTTGATGAAAGTCTGCAATGGCCTGTTGGAAATCATTTTTGTGACACGCAGTGCAAGTTTCTGACCCGTATAGAAGAACCGATTTCACATTGTTGTTGAAAACGCGAATCTCGTTCTTTATGCTGAGTTAGTGCAGAAGATTTCCAAACTGGTTTCAGGTTGATGAAGGCGTATCTTACCTTTCCGTTTCTGACTGACTTTGATATATTCATCCCTTCCGCTGGCCTGTAGTTGAAACGATGCTGCCTAGGCAGGTAAGTGAAGGAGGCAACCTCTGCTAAATCTCTCCCGTTGATTGTGATTGGTGCTGGTTGTTGTTGTTGTTGGTTAGTTATCTTCATCACCTCCATCTTCTCTGTGTTCACCTACAGTCCTGTTTTTGCAGCCTCTTCAACCAGTCTGTTGGTTTTTGCTTCCGAGTCTTCAAGTTTTTGGCATTAAACATATATCATCCGCGAAATCCAGATCTTCTACAGCCTTCTTATCGGTCGTCCAGCGTATTCCTGACTCCTCGCCCCCAACAGTCTTACGCATAATCTAGTCCACCACAATTAGGAATAGCGTCGTTGATGATAGTAGTCAGCCTTGTCTTACTCCTGTATGCACTTCGAACGCCTCACTGAGTTTTCCTTTGTGGATCACTTGACACATGGCATTGTCATATAGCTGTTGAATGAGGTTGACAAAGACTTGTGGTATACCGTAGTGCTGAAGTTGTTTCCAAATTACTTCTCGTTCAACGACGTCTGGTGAAGACCTTTTCGAAGTTGATGAAGTTGAGGTAGAGGTTAGACTGCCATTCTATGCTTTGTTCGATAATGATGTGAAGAGTTGTAATTTGATCAGCACATGATTTGCGTTTCCTGAATGCAGCTTGTTCCTGTGGGTAGCGGAGTTCTGTATCCAGTGCATCCTTTATTCTTTCCAGGATGATGCGACTTAGTATTTTACTTGGCGTGGACAAGAGCATTATTCCACACCAATACAAAGGTAATGAAAGCATTAATTCTTATGTCAAGCACTTAACCTAGGTCGAACACGGCATCCGACAAGTGCCAAAATATGGCGTAGCTTCATTCATTACTTTACTTTGACAGTGATTCAGAAACCAAAGTTTTTATTATATGATGTTATGAATTGTTGTGTGAAATGTTTTCAAGCAGATATTAGACTAACAGCGATTATTTTTAGATTTCTAAGAATCGTTTAAGGAATGCACGTTCGTAATGAAAGTTGTCTTCATATTCTCTAAATCAGAATAATTTATTCACGTACAGTATAATGACACTGTAGAGACAGTGACAATCCACAGACTTAGGACGTCATCTCATACAAAAACTCCTAAGTTTAAACTGAATTAATCAGTCTTGGGTTAGTTGTTTCGCGGAATCACTAAGCATGTCGAAAAAAATAAAGAAATTCATCAAATACATAAATGAAGACATCATTTCAACATAAAGACCAGATAAGGCGGTAAGGATTACTCACTTCTTCACATCGTCGACATTGCATACACTTTTTTGTAGCACTTCTAACAGACGAAAACTCGAAACCAGATTTACACGGTCGACATTGAGTATTTTCTGTATTTGAGCATAGTCTAAGCATACCATTGCCGACATCACATTTACGACAACAACGTGGTGTACCACGTACAGGGGATACAAATTCTTCAAAGGGATCATCACAGGTTTCCTGAAGATAATAAAAATAAATTAATAAGTAAATAAAATCTTTATGGTAAATTTTCACAAATTTGTGACTTCAGTTAAACATATAAATAATAATGGAGTTATTGAGGTTGTGATGGTCTAATTGATTTTGTCACCAGCCCATGTTAAATGACTGTATCGTTGTAGAATGAAGAACAACAGACGAATGTTTCATCCCAACTGAGTCTGGTTACGATCGAGTTAAAAACAGTTAGGTCAAGAGGAGAGCACTTTAACATTTATCCGCTTGTGCATCGATTTACTTATGATCTGAAGTTTTTGAAAATCATAGTTAAGCATCATAGCTATACAGCACCATTGATGATTGTTTGCTGTAGTGTATCTTAACGTTTCACAATAGAACTTCAGGAAATTTTTAGTAATAATGACAAGCAGAAAATTTAAGCTAATTTGTTGTAAGAAACTGGAAGTAATTGACCATACCACTCCAACACAATGCTCACTTCTTAGTCAGATAGCTATGACTTCCATCTTTGATGCAGTGATATGTGTTTATTGATTCGGAATTCCATGTTGTTTTGTTTTCTGTAATCTCCCTAAATAATGTTGGTTCAAGATGGAACCCATTATAGTCGACCTACTTCTTATGTATGAATGACTTTGTCCAACATTGATTTTATTTAAATCTAAGTTATGGACCAACCGTGGTGGTGTGATGCAGACAATCTGTGCCAACGGAATGTTATTCTCGGCACTAACAACAGAATACGATATATTCATTTGAGCATTGCTTTTGATGTTAGAGTCAGAATGTTATTCCCACAGATCATTTCGGCATTAGCAACAGAATACTGTGTATATTTGAACATTGCATTTCATGTCGTTTGATGTAAACCGAAATCACACGCTGAGTGATTGGTTAACGAATATAAACTGTAGATATATAAACAGCGGTTTGATTAATGAAAAATATACATTGGCTTCCGTGTCTTGTCTTCTGTTGTTACACTACTACGGGCTGAGTGGCTTTCAGTCATAGGAGCTATATTTATGGATATGAAATTCACTGTGACTTTCTTCGTGTTGTGTAGAGAATGAACAGCTATACTCATATAACCCCTCCATTTGGTTCATCTGTACGTGTTTCAGTAAACTGTCCTAACTCTTTTTGTATATAACACTTGATAAATAAGAACTAGTCTGTCTGGTAACAGGGTAAGTAAGATATTAAATTAAGCTGATATGAACGTTTCATACATACAGAAATTATACAATACAATTTCACAGACTAATACATAATTCGACTAGTACCGAGGACTACCTTGTTAAAAAAAACTTCTTTAATTGTTGGGAAAATACTGAATTCAGCTTGAATTTGTTTGTAAACTTTCACTGGCATTAATTTTTTACAGAAAATTACAGGATGGAGTTTCCTAGAGTTCTAGTGAGAAGTCGTGACCAGTGAAGTACATCCAGTCGGAAGTGAGGATGGATTTCCCGCCAATGATATTGGTTGGTGGTCGAGCTAAAATCACTAATTGGTAGAAGTTAGAATTTATGGACCGGTGAGCCGAGTCCCACTTGTTGAATGGTATCCGAGCTTGCCTTGTAACTGGACGGCTGTGGGTTCGAAACCCAATGGGCGCGTACTGCTGGTGATTCCCAAACTAGGATGGAACAGCTGTCCAGTACTCCCTGACTTTTAATGGTTATTTAACTGATATTAATCCATGGTCAAACTCGAAAAACAAATCAAATCCTTACAAATCAACTTTTATAAAAATTTACTTGGACGATTAAATATGGTTCTCACTTAAAACTGGATGAATATATCATCTAGAATATTTATCTTACGAAGAACTGCTAACATTTTAACAAGAGAGAAATTAATGGCTTTTAGTATAAGGTATATTCAAGCATATGCTTACTTTCCGGAAATTCTGTAGCAATCATTGTTTAACTACTTACAAATTATAAGTAGGCAGACAAGTTTCCGCAAAATACCCGATTGATGTATATTTAATGTATGGATGTAGTAAACGTCTTTACAAAACATGAACGAAGCCAAAGAGCTTTTGTCAATCCATATACAATTTAATGGTGAATGAAAAAAAAGGTGGCAGTGAAGTCTTAACCTGATTATGTTAATGTTATATACCCCTAATTTTGCTAATCTCCAGCTAGAACAGGCCTAGATCAGCTTGAACCAATCTGGACAAACTAAACCACCGGTTGCCGATTGCCTCCAACTAACTTATATCATCAAATCAATGTGCACCGTGATGGCGAGCTATCTAGAATGGTGGCCACATTGCAAACCTGACTGACAGAATTCAGTCTGCACTAAAGAAAGGACTAGACACGTCACACTAGTTACTAGTGTCTGATGAAAAAGACAGGTTATTTATTAGAATTCGATGAAAAGGCGATGAAGTTCAAACTTAGGCAACCAATTAAACTAGTCATCTATTGGTTTAAATTTCGGAGCTGAGCAATATTTATATATAATGTACTTTTTGTATAATTAAGTCGATCATTTTCACTAGGTCCAACCACTTTGTTTTTTGCCTTTATTTGAGTGGGCTCTAGGAGTAATTGGAAATAGGCAATGTCATTCGGCCATCATGCATCGGTGGCTCAAGAGTAGAATACTCGACAACTGGACACGTAGTCGAGGTTCTGCTTCTTGCTGATTCACTCCTTAACCCTTTTCTTGATCGATAGTAGGATTGGAAAAGATGGAAGGTTGAGCCTAAAGCTAGCAGTCCCAACCTATAAAAACAACAGAAGTGCTACTGAAACTTCGAAACCTAAATCTTGAAGCTCTATGTTCCACTCGGAACGTAAAGGAATGAAAGAAAAAAATTCGGTCTTCCGATGAATTCTTATTACATTCCCTGTTTAAAAAAGCCTAGTCGTAGGCATTAGAATTAGTGGCGGTCATATCAACCTACATCAGTCAAGTTCGGCTGTGGTTATCGACGTTAATCAGTAGAATTCCTATCTCACATATCACAATATTATCCTTTTTGTTAAAACACCTTATGATTTATTTGTGGATTCAGATTATATCACTGCTTGTAGCGATTTAACACTTTCTGTTCAACTTGACAACAATATCTTGACATTCATTTTGGTAATATTCAGAGACAGAATAAAACAGAAAATGACACGTGGAAGTGTTCACAGTATTGGAATGCATCACTTCCAATTATCTGATCATATAGTAACAAGAAAATGAAGTCGTCTTCAGGTTCAATAATGATTTTTACAAAAAATAATAGGACTTCCAAAAGAACAGGTAACAAGTTATTACTGACAACTCCTACCTGTATAAACATGAATAACTAGTTCAGAGCAAAACAACCACACTAAAATCCAACCAAGTTATTTGTGCTAGAAAGCATGTAGTCGTTAGATGGCTATTATAATGTCTAAATTTTAGAGTATGGGACAAATAAAAGCTGGAGCAAAACAAATGAGCGGGCATGTTAACATCAATACAATTGAGATATTGAAAACCGATTAAAAATGCCCATTAAAGTTTTGAAAAGGATGGATACTGAACAAAGAATACTCTTTTCGATAACTTCATCATCAGGCTGTGCAATTATACATACACTATAGTGAATGAATGAATTGGTGTTATGAACAACATTAATGTTGTTTAAATAACATCGAATCAATAATAATATCAGTGGATTACACTTCAATAGCATCAACATAAAAACAAACTGAATGTCAGAAAAATTAGGAAAGATAATATTACAAATTCATGAATTTCTAGTCTCTACTGAAGGCTGGCCAGGGCAGTAGTAGTGGCTGGCTGAACTTGCTTCTTTTGCACGCAAAGCACTAGTTGTTTCAAGCAAATTGCGATAGCCTCTGCTGTTTAAAGCATGCGGTACTTCGATGTTTTTGGCAATTTATTTGGCACCCGGTAGATGATGGAGAAGGATCCTTCAATGCTGGCTTTGTGGCCGGTTTGGACCAAATGGTCTAATATCAAACTGGGAGATGTTCTCGAGCACGAAAACTATACAAAAGTGGTATCTCAGATGAAAGATTCCCACACTACCCTGGAGATGTTAATTTTCCACCTACCAAAGTATATTCTACACAACTTTCTCCTACTAAATTAGTATCTAAACCATGCAATTAATTTTACGCCCAAGTTTTAAATTACTGTATATTTGGTTATAAAGAGGATGGATAGTTTTCGTTGCACAAAAGTTGGGTAAAAACAAAAATAAACAAATAAGTAAATAACAGAATAATGTAACTAATGCAGCATCATCAAGCCTCCTTCTTTTGGTATTGGAAAAATTAATTTAGGTAGTTGGCTGTTGTATTATACAACTTAACAGATTAACGTTTCATTTTAGAATTTTGAACTTCCTTTATATTTAGTTTCCTTTTTCCTCCGGCTAAATTCTTTCTGTTTCAGAAAGGAGTACGAAGGCAGGGGAAAGGCGGGAAGGAGAGAAGGTGGGGAACAAAAACCTAATATATCTCTAAGCTAATAAGAATAGGAGTATCAAAGGTTTTACTGTAGTTGATAGCCATGATATGCATAACTGTTAGTAGTGGTATCAAAGAGAGAGAGAGAGAGAGAGTTGAACGGCTTTGTCGGTAAATTCCCTTTGATATTTTACCATCCTTATTAATGGTACTATTGCTACTACTATTACTATTATTATTATTTTGTTTTAGATTTTCCTCAGTATGAAAATTTTATTAACTGATTAGTTGGTAGGTTGAATTTTATAAAATATTCCGTTTAATTCTATGGCAGTTGACACCAGATTAATTATATATTTATATACATACAAATATATGGTCGCGTTTTATATTTTTCATGATTAATTAATATTTTGTACAGTATACGTTTTTCTTCTCTGAGACATTTGTGAGCAAACAGCGATGAAAAAAGAGAAAGAAAACTGTTAAGGTTTACTTTCTAGTAAGAAATATGATATTTCTCGACTACATAAGGATATGCAAAGGCAAACAATTTGATGG